ACCAGACTTTAGAATTATTTCGCAAACCAGGGGTATTTTCGTCTATAATGATTAGAAGGGATAGCGATCTTATAGTAGAGCAGACTAAGCCAAATACAGGCAACCAGTATTGCAATATTGCCTTTGACAGTGCATGGCCTAGCGCACTGTCTCGCCATATTCGTTACGTGTATTAAGCTATATAACCATGATCCCAGTGAATACTTGTCACACCACCTTACAGCAAGATATTTATATTTATTCGACATTTTTAGTTTCTCCTAACTACAAAATATTGACGGTCTGAGGCATCAAGCGACAAGAATAGCTACTTTTATTCTTTAAACTGGAGTAAGTACCTCAAAATCTTAAAAATGGTATGCAAAAGTTGCATCCAGCTGTACCTCATCCTACCATTTTCATAACAATAACGGTACTTCGATATTAATGCACAGCCTTCAAAGTCGTATAGATATATTGAAAAAAAAAACATGATATTTCTTTATTCTACATTATCCAAACTAGTGAAATCAAGGTAAAGGTATTCTTGCATTGCATCCATATATCTAAAGGATGACAAAAAGATTCCAAATACAATTCTGACAATATTTGTCTGGTTATTTCTTGAGCAAAACCGCCATCCGAGAGAGAAAATCCCTTTGGTGTTATGCTGGTCCCCCAGTAACCGACTTTGCGTAATTAATTATAACGAATTACCGCAGATTTAGCAGAAACAACTGCCGGCAATCAGCATACGTATGGGGCACTTTTCTTCAAAATCCCCAGTAACGACTTGGGGGATTCCCAGATCCTCGGATCAGCCGGAATAAAATTGAAAATCGGTCCTAACGACATTGCCGCGTGGGCCACATAAAAAGTTCTACCTTTTAATTAACAGGAAGTTTTCTTGCCTAAGAATTTAGGACTTGTTTCTGAGATGAAACTTTTGGCGATGTACTTTCCAGGCAGGTAATAAATGTTCAGTGAAGTTCTCTTTGGATTTTCTGCCAATAAGGTGAGATTATCTAAAAATAAAGAAAACTCATGTAAATCCCTCAGTCATCCTTGAGAGCCTGAAGTGTTTCATCATGGTGGGTAGAGTCATGCCAAGCTTATTAGTATCCCTCGTAATATAGAGCGTGCTTCAATTTCGAGACTCACCATTGGGATCTTGGAAAGTAGGAGTCGCTTCAATAGGGGCAAAGTTGCGTACTTAAGCAGTCAATAAAATGCCGCTTAGAAAGTTTCGAAATTCAAAGTACTTCCGGAGAGAGACGAACAAACCGAAATTTCTCAAAATCGTTTCAAAATAAACTGCACATTAACATTGCCACCTTTTCTCCTCTACAATATGGCATAAATAGAATTGCAATATGACGTTTCGTCTCTTGTCCTCCAGCATCAACTTTATTTTTTCTTATGGGCGGCGTTTTCAGTTCTAAATGCAAAAATGTATGATATGTCATACATTGACATTGCTAAGCCTTAGTTATTCCAGAAAAACAGAGGTTCCTAGGTAGGCCTTGAAATTATCATACTTTATTTGTTTCGTATACCAGACTACACCTCAAATTGAACATAACAACAGAGTTTGGAAGACTTAGAAGAAGAGGAATAAATCTAGCAGTGAACAATGTACAAAGAAGAGTTAGGCTTTGCCTACAAAATAACGGACAACATTTTGACCAGCTGCTATGACTTACAGCTGCTATGACTTACCTCTGCTTATTACTTATGATTATTACTGCCATTACCATCAATAATATTTACATTCTGTGCTCATGTTTCACCATACCTTTTCATTTCCTTATAATTTTCATACAAAAAACAAATTCATGACCAACAAAGGGACATCACCGAATTTAAGACTGAAAAGTCCATTAAAATCAACAAAATTCCAATATAAAAAATATGAAAAAACCGTTGGTGATGAAAGGCGATAGAAGAAATGTCGAATTGAAAATTTGTCTACGCCATCTTATAGAGGAGAATAAGTAACAACGACAACATGCAAATTATTTTGTAAGCCCATCTTCAAATAAAATCAGGAAAAAAGTGATTTTGTGATAAATCCGATATGTGAAACAAATTACTATCTGATAATTTCAACCTCTATCTAGGAAAATCTGCACTTTTTGAAATAACCAAAGCTGTCAACGTCAGTATAAATTGTTGGAATCAGAATTAAAAACTCCATTCATCTGTGCAAAATCCAAGATGGCGTCGACGAGAAATAATAAAGTTGATGCTCGAGGACAAGAGGCGAAGCGTCATATTGAAATACTAACTATGCCATCATGTAGAAGAAAAAAAGTGGCCATGTTAGTGTGGTATTTATTTTGAAATTCGAAATTTTCTAAGTGACGTTTTGTTGATTACCTAAATACAGTATGCTCAGCCCCGAGCAACTAAACCACACGTCACAATCATACATATTTGGTGGAGGTGCCTTTTTGGTCCCTTTAAGGAAACTTTTGCTCAAAGTCATGAGCCCTAGCCTACCGATACATACGTGACAAATTTAATGGAGGCGGCTTTGCGATTAATTTTATGGTACCTTTGGTTTCTATTATCCCACCTGTACGTACGAGGGCGGTTCAATAAGTACCCGTGTTACAAATGCAGGCACCATTTCCAAAAAAATCTTTTTATTTTTCAACATAATCCCCTTTTAGAAAGATACACTTTCCCCAACGTTCCTGCCGTTTTCTTAAACCCCCAAAAAATAGGTCTTGTCGAACTCTCCACAATACGCCCCCGTCCCGGAGATGACTTCCTCGTTTGAGCAAAATTTTTTCTCCGCGCGCCATTTGTGTGTGCCATGTCAGGGAACAAGAAAATTTCGCAGGGGGCCAGATCGGGTGAATACGGAGCATGCGGCAGCACTTCATGCAGTTGGCGGCGACAACTCCAGATGAACGTGCTGGTGCTTTATCGTGGTGAAACAGCACCTTCTTTTTCGTCAAATGGCCGTGTCTCCTTCAATTTTTTGTCGAAGCGGTCCAATAACTCACTGTAGTATTGTCCAGTGATCGCTCTTCATTTTTCTAAAAAATGCACGAGGATGACGCCGTCCGCATCCCAAAAAGTCGTCGCCATGACCTTTCCAGCCGATGGGACCGTTTTCGCCTTCTTTGGAGCAATTTCACCGGGAGAAATTGAGTGGCTGCCGAGACATAGGCGGCATCCTGCAGCAATGGCCAACCCGGTAAAAATCGGCAGATTATCGTACCTTTCTCTCTGACCGCATGATATCCGTCATAATTGACGGGTTCTCCCCTTCATCCTACAGCGTCAAAGCGGGTGTTCTCCAATGATCGGCCTTGGCTCTGACACTGTTCCTCTTACATGTACTTTCCTGTACGATCAACCCAATCTACATCTTTACTGATAACAGCATTCGACATGCAGGAATTCAGAGCGACAAGCCGATCTCTGCCGGTGAGCGGAAAAAAGAAGACTAGCAGCGACTTCCTCTCTGTCGAAAGGTCAGAAGGTTATCACTGCTTTTGGACGCAACAATTTTGAACAGTTTAATCTTTACAAAGCACAGTACAGTTCACTCTATACACGGCCCAGATAATACCTAGCATCGAGTAATGCTCATACGTTTGGGGTGCTACCGCCCCGACTACATTATTCATGCTCGATGCTGTCCAGAAGAGGGCTGTCCGACTGATCGATGACTCTTCTCTAACAGACAGTCTCGGGACCCTTTCGCACCGGCGCCCGTTGGGGATCTAGCTCACCTCTACCGCTACACCAACGGGCTTTGCTCCTCAGAGCTTTCCTCCACGATGTCGCTACTTCGTACATCCAGAACTCGCCAATACGAGCGCTCCTTTGTCCCTAGGGTGTCGAGATTGTGAAACAATCTACAAGAGATTTTACTAGCCTAGGTAGCACAAACATCGTATTAACAAAGTTCCTTTGGGATCCTCCTAGCAACCGCTGTGTCCTGACATTCAGGCTCCTGCCTGCGCCGTTCCTTCGGTGTAAGAAGACCTTCAATATCAGTGACTTGTGTGGCATATATAACATAAATATCTGACCCGCTCAGGTATTCCTATTTAACTATTTTTTTACATGTTTAACAACTTCCCCCCACAACATCACATTTTTTCTTTCTGCGACCTAATCTTCAAAACCCAATAGGTCCCTACGACACTCGAGTAAATACCCGTTTAGTCTCTTAGGTCTCCCTACTACTAAATGCCTTCAGACAGGTTGTTCTACAACCTTGACGTCCCAGAAGCGACGGAGCGGTCGTACTCGCTAATTCTCGATTTACACCGTGATCAGAATTTCAGCCTAGAAACCATCATTGTCAGGCCGAGAATTGGACAGCGGAGATCTTAAGCATAATGTCACTGTTTTGTTTTTCTACAGTACGCCAGCGTTGACCACCGATAAATAATTAATTAATTCGGTATCAGTTATTATCCAATGTTGATTCCCATTAACAACCGTTTAAATCTTGACCGATAAGACATAGCACATAAATATTTGGGTAAAATTATTTTGTAGCAGTGAACAATTAAATTTATTTACTAACGCCATATTTATAATTGTGTTATTTAATTTATATTAGTACAATCCAGTTGAATATAATAAAGCGTGATTTATTCAGGTGCGTATTAACATAACGTGAAAACTGAAAAAAAATAACTTTAGAGGATGATATTAAGGATATCGGCTACTCGTGACTTGTGAAATACCGATATTCACAGGCTAACATAATCACACTAAAATATTACGTTTGTACACTTTGTACTCGTAGGCAGTATTTGTTTTATGGACAGCAGACAAGAGCTTAGTATTCATATACTCTATCTATAATATACACAAAGTTTATTAAAAAGCAGTAATGATACCCCTTTTCAGTTCTATTATAATGCCTCCAGAATAAATTGTTGAATTTCAGCATCACTTTTGATCACAGTTTTGTTAAAGATCATTAACGTATAGAGAGAGTTCAAACACCTCGTCCCTTTTATTTCTTTTTTATTTAATTACGATATGTAAATTTGGAATATTTGCCAATCACATATTCATATTTTCCTATTTTGAAGAAACGTAAGAAAAAGACTATATCACAAGCAAATTGATATTACAAACATATCTCAATACGAATACATAATTGGTGCCTGCAGTCTGGAAAAAATCTGGTTTAATTCAAGGTCATTTGTATGTTGTACTCCAAAAATTTCTCTCGCATAGATAGCCTACTTTTACTGAACTGTAGTTGAGTTTTGAGATGACGTTAACTTCATAACATCGTCTCAACACGGTGTTGGGACATATTATAGAATAGAATTATTGGTTCCAGCTTGTTGTTAGTGTACAAATATCATAGAAAAATGGGAATAACCTTATTACTGATTTATATGTGCACCATATACCTAGGATTTTGCCATGTAATCACAGGTAAGTTAATTACAACTTAAAAAATTCATCTGAGCAATCTATTTCGTTTAATAAAAATACGATTTTGACGCCATCAAATGCAGTGTTGTTCAGTTTAGAAGCCTCCCCCCTCCCAGAAAACATGTTTATCATCAATCTTTTAATGTCACTAATCTTGTTTTATTTCAGATGAAGATTATGCACTGTTGCCACCATTATATGAGATGGACAACTACACAAACTGTAAATTGCAAAAGAATGCATACTGCCAAGTTAGCTTCACTCTGAAACCTTTGCAGAACAGTAAGACATGGGAACTTATTCAGGTAACTTCAATTAATTACCTTGTAACGGGTGATTTTTTAAGAGGTATAAGATTTGATTTTAAAAAAAAACACAAAAGATTTGAAAAAACGATTAAATCTTTATTTGAGTCGATAGAACGGTCGATATAATTTAATGTTTAAAGATTATTTCATGTGAATGTTGGCCGCGGCTCCGCTTTAGATGGCCCATGCGCAAGATCCAATTTTGGCACACTCTCTCCAACATATCGACCGGTATCTCACGAATAAATACTTCAATATTGGCTTCCAGTGCGTCAATCGTTGCTGGTTTATCCCTGTAGACATTAGCCTTAACATGGCCCCACAATACACAATAGTCCAACGGCGCTAAATCACACGATCTAGGCGGCCAATTGACGGGCCCCAAACGTGAGATAAACTGTTCACCGAACTCGCCTTTCAATAGGGCCATTGTTTCGTGTGCGATGTGGCATGTGGCACCGTCTTGTTGAAACCACATGTCAGCCAAGTCCAGCTCTTCCATTTTGGGCAAAAAAAAGTTTGTTATGATCGCACGGTAGCGCTCGCCATTCACAGTTACGTTCCGGCCATTGTCGTCTTTGAAGAAGTACGGCCCGATGATGCCACCGGCCCATAATCCACACCAAACAGTGATTTTTTCGGGATGCATTGGTAGCTCTTGCAATGCTTCTGGCTGGTCTTCACTCCAGGTGCAGCAATTTTGCTTGTTAACGTACCCATTCAACCAGAAATGAGCTTCGTCGCTGAACACAATTTTTCGATAAAAATGTGGATCTTCCTCCAACTTTGCCAGCGCCCATTCACCAAATTGGAAACGTTGTGGGAGGTCGTGTGGCTTCAATTCTTGCACCAGCTGTATCTTGTAATGTTTTACACCCAAATCCTGTCGCAAAATTTTCCGCGTAGTGGAGTAACAGAGGCCCAATTGCTGCGAACGGCGGCGAATCGACATTTCACGGTCAGCACTAACACTGGCGGATACAGCCGCAATACTTTCTTCAGTCCTCACTCTAAGTCTGCGTGTTGGTGGTTTAATGTCCAATAATGTAAACTGGGTTCGAAATTTGGTCACAAGCTTCCGAATAGCTCCCTCAGTAGGCCGACCAAATTGCCCATAAATTGGAAGCAGTGCTCGATGCTCTTAACCGAGCATGAATTTTGATAGTAAAATTCAATAATTTTCAAGCGTTTTTCGTTTTTAAGTCGATTCATGGTCAAATTATAGACCAAACTGAACAAGTTTGACAATGACACAAGACACGATTCACGTGTCATCTGTCAAAAACAATGTTGCCAAAAAGATGCTAGCAAAAAAATCACCCATTATATCCAGAATATTGTTTCCAGAACACTCGACTTATTCTTACAAAACAAACTTTATAGATATCCAAGAAAGAAAAGTTTATGTTTAGTAGAGAAGTGATACACAGGGCGGTGTGCATTCCAGGGGACTATGAAGGTTTCGAAGACAGGAAGGCTTTCGTTGAAAGTAAAATAAACGAAAAGTTAAAACCATTATATTTGTCCACCAAAGCTGATGATATTGTCTGTTCTGTGAAACCTTCGTTCAATCTGCCTCCGTCTAGGTGGGTACTTGTATTTTACATTTCCATGTTAGTGGTAACTGGACAAAATCATCCACTTTGTGCGTCAGATATTTTCTTCCAATTTAGCAATACTATTCAAAGTATTAGCGCAAAGCTAGCGTGAACTTGAGATGCCTCACAGAAGGAGTCAATGAGTATCAAATCTGGCTATCGCAATGGCAGTGCAATATGACCGAAGCAAATAATCAAGCGATTTTGCTTGGAAGTGCGAAAGTCGTACGATAAGTTGTGCTTTACGACAAATTATTTTCTACGCTTAGATAAAGTCACGAACGTGGGTTTGATGTATCAGTTGCTTTTCCTTAAATGTAAAGTACTCTTTAATTTTATTTGGGGAACCTAAATCTTCTCTGGAAGACCAATCCTGGCTTTTTTCGATAGAGCTATAATATAATTTGTCGGAAATGTTGCAATGTGTTAATAAATTGATCCACGTCTCAACCAACCTCTGTACAGGATCTCACGTCTGCGTTTGTTTAGATCAGAGTTCCCCAAACTTTTTTGTGTCTTAGACCCCTTGCCATGTTTTTCCGTGTTGGGTAGACCCCCTACTTACCTGATATTGATTTCCTGTAAATTTCTAACTGTAGTAAAGTTTAGTGTTAAAAACTTAAAGTAAAAACACATGTTAATTTATACATTTATTAATTGAATTTAAATTAAAACTACTCAAAATAAAATTTTGTATCTGTTATGTAAAATATACGTAACATTAAATAAACAGGTGTCTGACCAATAAGTGCCCGCATTGGCAATTGAAAAAAAAATAGTACAATAAGCGAGTTCGTTTATTAATTATAACATAAACGTATGTTCTACAATAATTTCACTGTTAGTTTGATTAAATTAAATAAAATAGGCAAAAAATTAACGAATTTTAGTGTGTACCTATCCTTGAATTTTCAGAATTTAAAAAAATATTTTCTATAAAGGGGGGTTCTTTAAAAAAATCAATGCGAGCACTTATTCCCAATTCGGACATTTATTGGTCAGACACCAATAAACATAAAATAAACTATAAATAAAATAACATAGCAATAAGTCAATATTTTTAGTGTGAAGGATGAACCTGATGCTTTAATAATACATTATCAACATTTGGCGTCAATTTTGTAAGGGTTAATCTTAAATCTCCTCGGCTAATGATGTCCAGTCTGTTTCTTTTTTTCGTTAGGAGATTGGTAACAGCGTTGAACCCCCTTTCCACTAGGTATGGCGATGGAAAGGAAATTAAAAATTTCCTCGCTATATTCCATAATACGGGATAAGTAACGGGTATGTTGTTTTGCAGCCAGAATTGCCAGAAAAGCAATAAGTCAATAGTTTTAGTGAGAAGGATGAACCTGATGCTTTAATAATAAATTATCAACATTTGGCGTCAATTTTGTAAGGGTTAATCTTAAATCTCCTCGGCTAATGATGTCCAGTCTGTTTCTTTTTTTCGTTAGGAGATTGGTAACAGCGCTGAACCCCCTTTCCACTAGGTATGGCGATGGAAAGGAAATTAAAAATTTCCTCGCTATATTCCATAATACGGGATAAGTAACGGGTATGTTGTTTTGCAGCCAGAATTGCTGATATCCGTTTTTAAACTGAACCTTAAGTTCTTCGTTTGTACTTAGTTCAGTCAGTTCCTCTTGTATTATGACATTCGTTTCTTCTATGTCACCATATAGATTAATTATCCACGGTGGTACTACCATAGTCAAAATATCCTCAAACCTAGATTCAAAATCTGAATAGAGGGCATTTAAATGTTGAACGTAAGTTGAAACGCCGTCTTCCTTGCAGCTTGTCTGTGACAAATTGGGGAACTGAGAAAATTCGCCCCATCCAATATTTTGCTTCATTAGTTTAACTCTGGCAAGAAACGCTGATAAGATGCAATTTGTTTTATCGAATTTAAACTGTCGCCTTGTAATTGCAAATTAACCATATTAAATTTTGTAAACAAATCTGTTAAATAGGCGATGTCTGTTTTCCTCTTCATTAAATTTTCTTTTAAAATTTTATCTTTAGTATCCAGAAATTCTAAAATGGTCTCAAAAAGTGCAAAAAATCTTGTCAAACATAAATAAGCCTTTCGACAGCCAGCTTACTTCAGTGTGAAGGAGTAATTGATGAAAGTGTTCGTCATTTTCTTCACACAACTGCGCAAATAACCGCGTATTCAACGCGTTGCTTCGGATTCGGTTTACTGCATCAATGACTAAATGAAGTGATTCATGCAATCTAACACTCAAATTTTTAGCAACTAAATGTTGTCGATGGATGACGCAATGAATTGCTAACACCCCTGACATATTTTGTTTTAAATAGCTTATAAATCCACGATAACGTCCAACCATGGCAGGTGCTCCATCTGTAGCTACGGATATTATATTTGATAAAGGAATTGCTTTTTCAATAAAGTAATCCTTCAAAACATGAAATATTGATTCACCTTTAGTGTCGGTTATCAAAGTTCTTGCGAAGAGCAGTTCTTCGTAGATTTCTTGATTCATAATAAAACGAACATATGCCAATAATAATGCTGCATTATCAGGTAAAGTTGACTCATCCAGTTGTATAGAGAAATGGGTCGTTTGCAAATAATTACATAAGAAGCTTTCAATATCAGAACTCATTTCATCAATACGTCTTTCAACAGTATTGTTGCTTAAGGGAATTCTTTTAATGTTATCAGATGCAGGTTTGTGTAAAACAGTTTTTAAAACCTGGCAAAATTAACTTCTCTCCGATAGTATGCGGTTTCCGGATTTTGCTATAAGTAACGAGATATTGTAAGACGCCCGCAAACCATCATCATTTCTTTGTGACGTCGAAGCGAACATTCTGTCCAGTGTAGGTCTCTTCTGAAATTTATCTTTGAGTGTTTGAAGGTATTTCAAATCTTTCTCTGTTTTATCAGGGTGGCATCTTCTCAGATGATCTTGCAGTTTAGATGGTTTCATAGCGTCATTGCCCAAAACTTTGTTGCATAAAAGGCACATAGGCGATTGTTAGTCCGGCAATGATGGAATGAAGCCAAATTTCAAATATTCAACACTGTACTGTCTACATTTCTTTTTAGATTCGGACATGGCATCAGTCACCTGTGGGCAAAATTAAATTATTTAAATAAGAAAGAAAATCCAGCAGCTGTAGATTAAAAATATTTTTTGATTTTTCCGAAAACATTCCATAATTCGAACATCTTCTTGCAACAATTAGCTCGAATTACGGAGATTGCACTGTAATTATATTACCGATTGCTAAATCTTTCAAAAAGAAACTATTGAGGAGACTCTTGTAATTTTGCATGATTGAATATTTAACTACTAATAACTAAAGTCATCATTGGCGTAATTTATCTATCTTTGCTAACTACGAGTACAAAACTAAAATTTAATAAAAAATAATGAACTTACTTTTCTCCAGCACTGTCAAACAAAATAACACTGACTCACTATAATTTGTGTGATATACTATCTGTTTATATTTTTTAAAATATTTTCTTAGCCTTTTCAAGATTCAGGAAACGAATAAATGTATTTGTCCCACATTCGTATTTATAGAGTGACGAATTGAACAAGTCAGTGCAAGGTAGCGAAGCTCTGAGACTGCGACTCTCAGGTTTTTACAAGTTCAAAATGTATTGCGACCACAAAGCGAATACCAACATCCTACATCTTACACAATTTTATAAACATATATAATAAAATATTTACTTCATAGGTACTTTTATAAATAATGTATATGTTTTGATATTATAAGATAGTATGATGTAAGTAAATAGGTACTATCAGTGTATGTGTTGAGATCCACTATCGTGGACCCCCATATTCATTTCATGGACACCCAAATTTTTTTTCCGCTGACGTAGACCCCTAGGGGTCGATATAGACCACTTTGGGAATCAATGGTTTAGGTGCTACTAAGTCATTAATCGAGATAACATTGTTCGCTGGTTTGTTACAGCATTGGGATACTACTCTACATACTATTTGTAGTAATAGCAACAATGGTAGATCATAATTACAAGATGTCTTCAAATGGCAAGTAGAGCAGTGTAGCTTTAGTTTATAAAGCAATGGACCTACTTATATGATTTTCTAGATATCATAGGAAAGGTGACCAAACATTTCTCGCTTGCAAGGAATTTCAGAAAAATATTCCGAACTCCATCTACAAGTGACTATCAGAGACTGAAATGCATTCAAGGTATTCGGACCCTTACTTGTACAGGAATTATAGTCATTCATTCAAAGGTATCTCATTTTCTTACAAACCATGAGGTTAAAAGGGAGTTTGAGGAGGTACGTATATTCCTGTTATATATTCTACATTCTGATATTCTTTCTAACCACTTTAACTTTGTATTTCATGGAAGTGGTTTCATCAGTGCATCTACGTTCTTATAGTTTCAACCACTAACATTGCATCTATATGCGCAACTTTCTAACTGTATCCCTTTTTATTTTAGCTTTACAGTATTCATTACTATTTGTTCATATTTGATTACTTCGTAATCCAGATATTTTTGGTCATATCGCCCTGGTTACTAACGCTGGCAGTCTTAAACCTGTACGAAAGGAATGGTCACTTTACTGTTAAAGACGCCGTCGTAATGTTTGTTAACCGATGTTTCAGGTAAGTGAATATTAAGTCCGAAATTTTTACAGCAACCCATGCGAACTAAAGCAGATGTAATAAATAACACAATCTCAACTGTTACATCTTTTACAGGTTTTGGCCGGTCCTGATCGCAATAATATTCGTACTAAGGAACTCAAATAATTTTAGTCAGGTATCAGATGTCACAGCACCAAAACTATTAGCTATATCTGATAGTGCGTGTAGAAACAATTGGATGGCTACAATCTTTTTCTATCAAAACTTCTATTTAATAGAGGACACTGTGAGTAATCACCAAAATAAAACAAATTTATTTTAAGACAAAAGGCAATTCATATAGTCTGGTACCTACATGAGAGAGAGTAGGTACCAGACAGGAGTAAGTATATCCATTACTAAAGATATGTTTCGTCATGTTCCTAATTGAAACAGCAAAAAACTCAAGTTTGTTTTATACATGAAAAAGGACACTACTATGCGTTGTCACACCTTATACTGATTAGATATAATATTTTAATATTGTCTTGGCTTACATGTATTAATGGTTTATCTCGCTATAGCTGTAACTAGTGTCAAAATTGTCCCTATGTTGTATTTTTTTGAGCTATAAAGATACCACGGGTTACTGGATAGATGCCAGAGTCGTGAAGTACTCGTAGATATCATAAGAGCCAAAGTGAAGTCACGTAGATTTACTTTGTACTTTCCTCATAAAGGGCTACCGTTTTATATTACAGTAACAAAATTCACAGATGATGTTAATAGTTGTAAGAAGTTCAAATTTTGAGTTGATTATGATGGTACTGCTTAATGACTGTTATAAGTACGTGCTGCTTGCGCTAATCTGCAAAAATTGTACAGATTGCTATTGTTTCCTATCTCATTGCAGCTTCTACTTCGCACTCAGGTATCTGTAGCGTAATGTGTTCCAAATTAGGTGTAATCTCACCTCTCGAAGAGCTTATATAGATTTTCCGGACATCTTGTAGATCCAAACAGTTTTATTGACTTTAAGCACTACACGAGATTATCATCTTCTCTTGTGCAATTTGGTATGATTAGATATCCGAATTGTCTACTAATTTATTATTAATTTTTGTCTTAGTGTGCTAATGGAACCTGGTACGTATCTGCAGATGTGCAATTGTATGCACTGTCACTGATCATACTCTTTTTAACTCTGAAGACAAAATCTACGGCTATTTTGAAGATATCGTTGATTTTATCGTACGTGGTGTTTGCTTGTGTTATCTATTTCAACGATTTGGATGTTGTCTTCAGACCCTATCCGGGGTGAGTGACATACGTCCACAATTTAGCAATTAAATATAAATCGAATTTGAAAGATCTAAGTTTAGTCAAGATAAACTAATATCTTTTAAGAGCAATTTGAAACAACTTATTTTCTTAGGAGGTATTATATGATTGAATGTGAGCTCAGTTCCTGTGTCCTAATGTTCCAGATTTTTCCAGACAGAAAACATGGGAAGATTATCCGAGCCTCTGTATTTGTATCTCATGACATTATGTACATGCTCCTACTTACTTCCTTGGAATTTGCTTTGGAATATACTATCATAGGCAAAAGACTGAGAAGACTCAAGTTACCAAGGTACGCACGTCATAAAATCTGCTAATATACAGGGTGTCCCAAAAAAAGTGTGCAATATTCTACCAGCGGTTTCTAGAGCTTAAAATAGGAAGAAAAGATTATATAAACACAGGACGACAAACGTTTCCGAAACGTGTTGAGATAAAGACATAACATTTGGTATTCTAGCCTTCTTATGCTGGATTTAAAGATATTAAAAATTTTAGACAGTTTTGTTTGGAAGCGTATGTAACAGGGTCGGACTCAGGTTATTTGAGCCCCAAAACTTTTGTGTGATTCTATTTTTGAAATTCAATTTTAGAATTTGAAAATTTAGGGTTTTCTACATAAAAAAAGGTACTCTTATTGAATATCGATAAATTGTGCCGTTTTTGAATAAAGTCAAACTAAAAAATTTGTCACATTTGCCACCCTAATTAAAACACAAATTAGCAAAATTAACCTAGAAAACATTATTAAAAATAAATCTTTTCAATACAAGTATTATTTGTAAAATAAACTACATATAAAGATTCTAAATCTATTGCACTATTCTGCCAAAATTAGAATTTTACTCTTTAATAAAAAATTGTTTTTAATATTCAATCCTTTCGTACTAAAATATTAACCTAAATTAAAGATACAAACCAACCTGGCTCACACCGTTTTAAACTCAGATCATGTAAAATTTTAAAGGTCGAATTTAAATGAATTGTTGAATAATTAGCCATGGCAACGAAAAAACTAATTTAATAATTGGTAAATATTACATAAATACATATTTCTGTTGCATTATAGCTAACATTTAGGCAAAAACAAAAGAAATAAATTTTTTCTAAGAACGAAATTGAAATTTGTTTAAAAAAGAAGACCTACAGTTGGATATACTTAAAACTAGCTTTACAATAAGTGTTCAAATAAATTCCCATTTTGTTGGATACAGAGTCTCGCTCGACGAACTAATGAACGCGTAGCCCGAAAAGTGGAAAACCGTTTTCTTCTTATTTCATTTGCAGCCTGATGGATTCTTTGAAGTAAATCTTCTTGAGTATTTACTTCAGTCGAGTAAACTAGGTCTTTTAGTGACCCCCAAAAATAGAAATCCAATGGATTTAGGTCAGGTGAACGTGGCGGCCACGCTATAGGATCTCCTCGGCCTAACCACCTGTCTGGAAAATTGACATTCAACCAATTTCGAGCATTGCGTCCAAAATGTGCAGGGGCGCCATCATGTTGAAAAAACATATTTTCTTGAAACAGCTGGCGCACATCCAATTGTATTATATCCATGAGCTCATTCTGAAGAAAGTTCAGATACACCTCTGAATTAAGACGATTGGGAAGTACAATAGGCCCAATTACTTGATCCCCAATTACTCCTGCCCATAAGTTCAATGAAAATCTATGTTGGAAATTTGTACGGCGAACAACTTTTGGATTTTCATATGACCAGTGATGCATGTTATGGAAATTAAAAGCACCATTCCTAGTAAATATTGACTCATCCGACCATAATATTCTAGGAATAGTGTTTTCATTTGCTAATATCCACTGGCAAAACTCGATTCGTGGTAAAAAATCTGCCTCCGTTAAATGTTGCATCCGCTTAAGATGATAAGGATGTAATCCTTGCATTCTTGTCATTCTTCCTATCTATAATTATTATTTTTAGGATAACTATCAAGTAGGTATTCATAAATTTTTCTTACTATTGATCGAGGTATATCCATATTTTCTGAAACATTTCGTATGCTTATTTGCGGATTATTTTCAAACATATTTAAAGCAATATTCATACGACGATTTCCAGTGGCCTTCCTGAGCCCTACATGCGCTGAAAACTTCCATGGTTTGACAAATTCCGGTGAATATCAGTAAACATTCGACGTCCAGGTGCTATGCGATTGGGAAATTTTCTTTGATATTCTCTTACGGCTGCCAATGAACTGCCATTGCAAAACCCATACACAAAATGCATGTCAGTCAGTTCTCTGTCTGTAAATCTTGGCATTTTAAATCGATTTAATAAACATTTTGGTTTTAGTCTAGTAATTTTACACTGCTAACAATGTCAGCTCAACGTTAAAATAAGTTATAACAAATCAAAACAACTTTTGTTTGCAGTCATGGCTAACTATATATAATCAACAATTCATTCAAATTCGCAGTACACTTCCTATCATGACAAATTTTTTAGTTTGATTTTATTCAAAACTGGCACAATTTATCGATATTCAATAAGAGTACCTTTTTATGTAGAAAACCCTAAATTTTCAAATTCTAAAATTGAATTTCAAAAACAGAATCACACAAAAATTTTGGGGCTAGAATAACCAGAGTCCGTCCCTGGTACATTCGCTTCCAAACAAAACTGTCTAAAATTGTTGATATTTTTGAATCCAGCATAAAAAACTAGGTTAGAATACCGAATGTTATGTCTTTATCTCTACACGTTTCGGAAATATTAAGAAAAAACAGCGGAGCCCCTTCAAAATACCGTAGCGTCCTTAGGGGACGTTTGTCGACCTATGTTTATATAAACTTTTCTTCCTATTTTAAGCTCTAGAAATCGCTGGTAGAATATTGCACACTTTTTTCGGGACACCGTGTATACTAGAGGCACGCGTTTGAAATTCCAGTTTAATCATCAATTGTCCCGAGTTTCCTGGCCAAATCATAACGGCATTTAAAAAACGCGAATCTTCACTGACGTTTCGGATGCCCCAAAATAGAAATATATTATTTTTATATAGACTATGCTTTTGTGAGTGAGTGAAACTTACATCGCATGCTGCTAATACTTATATTTTCCGCCTTTGAAGCCAGTGAAAATTTTACATGTCCTATCTTTCTATTTTCAGATGTTTGTTATATTTTGGATCATATCGTTTGTTTGTTTACCCATATTGGTCGTTGCAGTAGCATCCAAAGAATGGAAGGGATTACCAGCAGCTATTATCGGCCCTCTCTTAAAACCGTTATTTGCATTTGGTTTTGCAATAGGAATCTTGGGAGTGAGCAAAAGCATTGGAGGTTTGTCAGTATTTTAAGTGTACCAAATATGAAAGTAATTCAAGGTTACTAATAAGTAATCTATATATTGCATATAAATGAAAACATTAGTGCTACACAACTCAAGCATCATAGTCAGTCTCAATGAAAACTGGAAACTGGAAACTCACTCTGGCATATGACTTAAATAGTATCTGTAGTGTGAGCATGCATATAAGTTTACTTTGACGTTCACTGTTTTTTAGGTGTTTTGAAGAAATTCCTTGAATGTAGACCGCTGGAAGTTTTAAGCAATATAACCTATTCTACCTATATCTTCCATTTCATAGCAGTCTTCGAAAGATCTCTTACAACGAAGAAACTCTTGAAACTAGATAGTTACACTCTTGTAAGTACTCGTAACTCATTTTCCTGTTTAGTATAAACAAATATCTATCTGCAACAGGTATTATTCCAATTCCAATTATATAGAAAACAACATCCATTGTATATCAAGAAGAGAGTTCCAACCTTCAGAAGATACATTTGCAATCTTCATATTTTGTAAATTTCTTTGCTCCAGCAAAAAGTTTTCAATCAACCTTCATGCTAGGCCTTATTTTGAATCCTTACTTTTAGATAAGGGATGCAATTGTCGACATTCCACTATCACTTCTGATTGGATTGTTCGCATATATGTTCATTGAAATACCGTGGGCGAATCTGCAAAGGGAATATATCCCCAATGCTAAAAAGCAGGATGGAGACATGAAGAAACGTCTCAGCTGATAATATATATTAAAACTATGTATTATGTTGTGTATTATCATTATAAAAACGAATGCCTGTGGAGAATATTTTATACTCAATCATGTACACAGCTTTACCATATTTGTCGTTTTAACGATGATATCTAATATCAGCGAAACTAATCCTGTAGCTGTCTCTCTGATTCCTCTCCATATTGTCCTTATCTTCCAAATACAGATGTTGGGTGGATTCCATCACTACACCAACAACGGCAACGTTCGAATATGAATCTCCCCGCGAAAATCACAAATAAAACTTAGGAGTTCGAAGAACCTCAGTGGAACTGCGCCTGTCGCATTAACCCCATCATTCACGAATGAAGAGTCGAGCCCTGTCAACTCCTTGATTCAAATAAACAGTTTAAGCTGTTTTTATTAAAATGTTTAATTGTTTTAAATGTACCCAAATTTCCTAAGTCAATTAAAGAGTTCAATAAAACAGGTAAATGGTTTCTACTTTCAAGCACATTAGTTTAGTAATATATTGCTTTCAGTTAAGTAGTTCCCAAAAATTCAGCTTAATGAAACCGAATAATTTAGTTACTCAGAATAATTAGAAAATTAATCTCGGGCAATGAAAATTTTCTACAACTGTTTAATTGGGAAAAAGCCAAGACCTTGTTGCCCAATGATCTCAACATTTCTCTGTTAAAGACTGAACCATACTGAAGTCGATGGATGTACCCCAGAAAAATATAACTGGTGTATTTGAGCGAGTTCGGTAGTATAGCGTGAAAAGACGTAGTCTTGCATTCTAGCTGGGGTCCAGCGAAAATGATTTTATTTGAAGTAAATTTCATTTACAGTTAGACGTAAGCAAGAGAATATCGTGATCAAGTTATGAAGTGTAAATATTTGCTGTATCGCTAGATTTTCATAATGTGTTGGGCCATCTTGATGTCGGATACAATCGTAGAGTAGTCGCGCTGGTTCAGGCCTCTAATGAGGTAATCTGTACGAGGTCTGTAAATTAAGTAAGCTGAAGCGACACAACGCTGGAGATGGTTCTTCCACTCATCATAGCAGAGCTGGAACTCCGATGCTGGAATAGCCTTTAGCTAATTTAAATGTTTTCGGCTGTCCCAAAATGAGTTCCCTTGAGGTGATTTTTTAACTTTGGGAAGAGAAAAAGTCTCAAGGACTCAAGTCAGGCGACTGAAAAGGCTGAGGAGCCATAGGAATGTTCTTAGTGGCCAAAAACTCGTTTATTGACATTACTGTGTGACAAGGAGCATTATCGTGATGCACCCAGAATTGAGGAGCTCGCGTGCAAAACCGGATATATCCACTTTTTACACAAAATCTTGATTTGTGGTTTCTGGGTCTAGGTCGTAATATCTGTAGGCCTACATATTCGTTTGCAGCCAAAACCGTATAAATTCCTTTAAAATCGTTAAGTGAAGTTCGATGTTTGGAGTAAAACTGGTTATATCCAAATTTTGCAGGCAAAAGTAGATATATCCAAATAAACAAGTCTGTGCGTATTTTGTTGCAATTTATAGTTTGTTGCTGACATTGAGTTATGATCACACCTGCATTCAATCGTGCCAGATTCATCTAATAAAAATAGCGTGTTGTTGAAAATTGTATACTATGGAGGAGGATATTAGTGTAAATGAAGGATGTGATGGAAGCAGGAAAAACGCGAGAACAAAATAGAAAAGCGTAAAAAGCAAAAGTAAGTTTAAGTTATTGTTTTAAATTGCGATTTTCTACAATTTTTATGTATGTTAGGTATTTAGATCCCAACCCTAAATTAGAAGGCTTTACACGTCCTTGTAGTGATGATGGTGAAACATATGATTGCTGCAAAGAGTATGCAAGACTAAGAAAACAGTTTTATGTCAGCTAAACGATGCAGACAAAATAAAGAAATGAAAGAAAGGAACGCAACAGTTTCTTACATGTTAAAGCCTGATAAAAATATGATTAGGGTTTACGAAACTTTTTTCTCTGCTGTTTTCGGTGTAACTAAACACAGACTTGACACAGTTGCAAAGGTATTGGAGGAAGGAGGTGTTCCAAAAGAGAAAAGTTGAGGGAATAGAGTATCTCGGAAAACGGCATCAAAAAAAGAAAAAGTACGACAACTTATTGGTACCTTGCGAGGTTAAGAAGGCCACTACAATAGAAAAAAGTCGAAACGTATATACCTTTCTGCAACTCTTTCTGTAACAAAGCTGCATAAAATGTATAATAGCCAACGTCATCCTGAAGATCAAGAAATAACCTACGATATGTTCAGAAATATATTTTCGAATGATGAATAATAAGGAAAACCAAGAAGGTGGAGTCAAGCTATGCGATTGCCTGTACGAAGGGACTGCAATACATATTTAATCTATAATATAAATTATTTATTTAAAGAAAAATAAATAACTTTTTTCACTCACAGTATGTAACATTTTGTGTGTAAAACGGGACATTGAATGTTTTTTTGCTAATAACGTCGAGTTGTTTACTTTTCTTACAAAAAAATATACCTCAATCAGTTGGTCAACCTCATTAAATTGAAACCGTTTTCTCAAAATAACACAATTTCTTAAAATAAATATGTAGGGTGTTTTTTTCATCGCCTCAAAAAACTGTAAAAGTGGATATATCCGGTTTTGCACGCGAGCTCCTCAATTACTCTTTTTCGGAGTTTTCCAAGAACCTAAAGGTAGAACTGTTGATTTACCGTGTGGCACTGAGGTATAAACTGGATTGTGTCGATATTTTTGTTGGTTCTTCAAGATGGTCTTCCACGTCCTCGTTCATCTTCAGACAAGTTCTTACTTTGCCTTGAACCACCGAAAAACCTGGGCTCTTGAGAGAACACTTCCTCCGTAGGCCTGCTGAAGAGTTTCCGTTTTACTGTGCCCAAGTTTGAAGCAAAGCCTGATAGCAAAAAATCGCTACGGACAACCAAAAGACTCGAGTGAACTCAGACTTATACTGAAGACAGATCACATGTTTCCCTGCCTCCCCTCCAAGCCCAGCGTCTCCAGTATTGACAGATCGAACGCTACGATGCTAGTCTCAGTACTTAATTAACATACCTTGTATCTTCTTGAAGTACTCCATTTCAGTTGGTTCCAAAGAGCTCCAAGAATTGCTGGGGGATTAGACGAAGAGGTCACACTTTTTTCCATCATGTTTCACAAAATGCTCAATGGGTATAAGCTCTGGAGATCTAGGAGGATCCATTGTACGTTTAGCAATATGGGAACGGACATCTTGCTGGAAAAAAGTGTTCTCAAGCATTTGGAGACATGGTAATTGATGAGTTTCCAGTAGTTCTTTAGTATAGCGCCGTCATGCCTCCTCTAATTATAACTAGAGACGACTTCTCCTCATATGTAATGGAACGCCAAGTCCAAGTATAATGTACGTGATGTTCAACTAAAAACTTTTCACTAAGTCCTTCTCCACGACGCCTTCTGACCCATGCTCGTTCATCATCCATTCCTATACAAAACAAATCTTCCTCCCTCCTACATCAGGTGATGTAGGACCTTTACCTAATCCTCCAAAATTGCTAGAAGCTCTTTGGAACCAAGTACAACTTGAGATGAGATACACCAAAAGGACTGGAATCATCTCCTAAGAAGCACCCCCTAAAAAACTAAATGATTGCAGGAATCGGACTGGTCCAAAATATTATTAGACAAATTCAGCAATACGGCAAATGTTTTCAACTCGAATAAAGACGAATATCATATTATTAAAATGTGATCACGACTTTCTCTTGCATATGTCTTACTGCATATAATTCATTTATTTCAATAAAATCCATTTACTACATGTTCTTTGTCACTTGGAACAGCTTGTGAACAAAGAAGCTTAGAATCTAATTTGCACCATCAGAAAATGTTATTTGGACTACATCTCAGAATGGAGCAGTTTTGTGAAAATATTCAGAAGTCAAACTAGTCTTAGAGTTACACCTGTATATGATTTTTATGGTGAGTGCATCTGGATCAACAAGCATGTTTAGTAATCAACAACTTGGGAGAGAGAAAAAGTGGATGCCGGTAGGATTCAAAAAAGCATTTTCTCCATTCTGTGGAGCCTACCGTAACAATTGGTTGGTCTACAGCACTACAGCAACAGCTGCCAACCAATTTTCAGGATCGACTGCTAGAGGCAAATCCAATGTTACCCACGCCACTGTTCCTTTGTTCTTTCAAGCTGCTTGATGTCGCGACAGGCAGTGTTCAAGTTGTTTACTAAACATGGTCTTAAAGTAATTCAATGAAACACCATTTGAAGCATAGCCTCCACGAATAAAAATCTTCTTTATCACCAAACAATACACGCAGCCACAACAAATACTTAACAGAAAAACCTGACCATTCTACCACTTGTTGTTCGTGGCAAGATACATCGATATATAAAAAACTCTTGAATTTTAATAAACATACGTAGGTGTTCACCTTTTTTTTGTCACTCAGTATAACATGAACTACTCAGATGCAACATTAGCTCAAAAAGTACTTGCATCTACTAAGTAATGCTTCACGGTTCCCACGATAGCTGTACAATCGCTTTATAGGTCAGATTCTAAGTAAGCCCTTCGTAATATCCTGACAAGGGTGCAGTAGTAGGACTGAGCATAGGAGGATTATGCAGTCAAATGAGATTTTGGAATATGCATGAATGTCGTCCACAGGAAGCCGAGAGTACACCTGGACACTGTTATACACACAGAAATGATATGGAACTACACCAACTTAGAAATGCCTAATGCTGAGTCCTACGATACGGTTATAAATCTAGTTCGTACAGGGTGATCGTAAGACAACGGTATATATATATACATACCGCTTAAATGTATCTTTTCATGCAGCGCCAAATAAATCAACATGGTTTTTACGGCAAGATCGTTGCACTATAAGCGATAAGGTATACCATACGCCAAATCGATATTTTTTGCACAGGGGAAAGTTCTTATAGCCACTCTCAGGCAGAGAAGCTCGATAGTACTGCTCAGTCGGTCCTTCCTGACCGAAGTGTGAGATTCTCCAGAAGCGGCATACTCACTGAAACCTCTCAGTTGTTTGCCACACATCCCACCAAACTGCCAAACAAAAAAGTTAGGTGCAATATTAACTGATACATCTAATCGCTGGAGCTGGTTTATTATATAAGTTATTAGTACGTGGCTCGTGGACTAGTGCAGTGTTAGAACTCTGAGGTAGTTGAACAGGGTCAAAGGTGGCCTCCCCACCACTACTACTTTTGAGTCATATTTTGACTTACATACTTTTTATACCGAAACAGCCGCGTATGCGTATGCTAAATACTAAGGCACCACGGCTGCTGTGAGGAACTTAACAAAACATTGCTAATCTGATTTCTGAACTATCCAAGGTTCTGGAACTAGGAGAAGCCTCCTCAGGGAGATTGTTCGGTGATCTCAACATCCAAAGGACAAAGAAGCGGTCGTACTGACCAGTTCTGCATGTAC